TGTTAGGGAAGCCTAATGACTTGAAAAAGTCTCTTTCTGATCTTGTGACAATTACACACTTGCAGAGTAGAAAACCAAGATACAGGGCCCTGCTGAGCACTTGCTATCCTGGTGTCCGTTTGCATCCCCTCTGCCAGTCAGTAGCTTGGCTGAACAGAGTGGAAAATCACCTCCGAAGAACTCTTTATTGTTACACAGAACAGACATACAGGAATAGATCGGATGGGGGAGCTGTAGCATTTGAGTTTTTTCAACATCCTCAGCTCCTTGGTCTGAGTAAAGCCTGTATCCACATGCATACCAGAAAGAAGGGATGGGAAGGGGTACAAATCAGAGTTCAACCTGACAAACTTCAGGAAATAATGATACAAAGTACTGATACAATACTGATGGGGGATGCTGCAATCAATTTTGTAACTGGGTTGCTTTAGCTTTTAAGGGTAGGTGGTGTTCAAAATGTTGGTTTTTTCCTGCTTGTAAGGGGTAAGTTATCCATGATATTTTAAGCAAACAAGTATGGTTTTCTTCTTATGCTTCTTAGAAAAACTGCCTGAAATGTTCAGGCTTGTAGAGCTTCTGTTAAGACTGTATGTTTTCCTTTTTTTGTCAGCTGTTAAAGAACTGCAGTATGACAGGATGCTATTCTTGCATTTGTGGTGAAAATTGTTTTACCGAATGTGTTAAAGTGATTGTAAGAATTACCAAACATTGCATTCTTCTGCGTGACTAAACTGCACTTTAGTTATCTTTGTGAAGGATTTTAATCAAATTTGAGTTTCTAGAAAGCAGCCTAGTCTAGGAAGAGTCTGGTCTTTATGTACCCTTGTGAAAAAAGAAATTTGAGAGCGTGGAAGTGGGGATAAAGATGTAATGATACAAAAGTAAGGAAATCATTAACACTTCCTCTTTTTGTGTAGTGAGGGCATGACAGTTAGCTTCGTTTTGCTTCGAAAAAGTCTGTGACCCTCCAAACTTTGGTAATTAGTTTATGCACAAAGCTGTTAAACGTAACCAATGCATAAAAGCAAATCGAGGTTTATGTGTATAAAAAAAAGAACTCTAAGGGTTCTCTCCGTGTGTGTGCGTGTATATATATATATAAACACACACATAACGTGAATATCTGAATGGTCCAGCACAATTTCCAAATTAGAGCAGGTTAGGCCAGTCCCATCTGATCTTTGTTGTTTGCTCATCTATGGGAAATACAGAGCAGATAAATGGCTGAAGAAGGAAAGACAGAAGTCGTTATTGGGGATGCTACAAAGAATCTGGTAATTACAGACTGTTTTGGTTTCCCTTGTCCATGAGTTTTCTTGCATTAAGAAATGCAAATTTGTGTACAGAAGCTTTATGATTAAGTCAGGTGACACATTAATTTTGTCAGTGGCAGTCAAAATGGGTATGAAGTGTGCTTATTACCAAAAGCTAGATGAAATTAATTAAAATGTTGCATATTCAGGTCACATATTCATGGCAGATGATTGCATATTTAATGACTGTTGCTATCAAATGGTTAATTGATCATACTAAGGAGTATCAGATATTACATAAGCTACTTTTTAGTAGCTGCTTTTTTATTTTAATTCTCATCATAGCACAATCAAACTAAACTGTCTTACTGCAGTCTTTGTACAAACCTTACTTTTTTTTCCTGTAACGTAAATGAATATAGGACTTTTTATTTGGGAGATTCCAAAATCATTTACCGATATATCAGTTTATATACTGCTCAGTGGTAATCCCTTTCAGCATCATAGGGAGGGTGCATCTTGACCAACTGCTGGGAGAATTCCTTTTCCTACAAATGGCCTTAGAAATCCTACTGTGCAGTCACACCAGGAAAGACCAAGGCTGCATACCGCTACGTACTGCTTCCTTCACGCATGGAAGGACAGAGGTCTACGCTGCCTGCTCAGTGATCTGAGCCTGTGGATCCCAGGGAGTAAAATCTGACAACATGGAAATGACTATTGTTTCCTCAAACACTGTTTGGAAACAAGTTTAGAGGTAGCTTCATGTGTGTGGTGGTATAATGAAACCGCATCTAAAATCTCTCTATATGGTCACAATTTTAGATTTAGTTCTAACCAGTAGGGAAAAAAAAAAGTATATATGGCATATAAAAAGTGCATGTTAATTTTTTGTGTGGTGAGTAACAGATCTGAAAGCATACTGGGCTTTTGTTGGTGATTGAAGCTGTAAGAAGAGTCGTGGCTCAAATCCCCAATGGCAAGAACAAATGTGTATTTCCAGTACTTTAATTAATTCCTAATTTTGACACAGTTTAAGACTGCATAATAGGAGCTAGCTCTTGTATATTGTTTTTCAACATTAGATCTAACAGCATTTTATAACAAGATGCAATTAAGACGCACATTGATGTCCATCCTAATATGGACACACTTTAAATAAACATAACATTTCTGGAAACTTCTTTCTCCGACACTATTAGTAAATGCGATGCATTTTTATTGTGCTGAAGTTGTATGCACAACCTGAAATGTATCGTTACAGATATTATTGCAAGTTTCATGAATCTAGAAAGTAAATGAACCAACAATGTCCTGAGTATAATTAAAGATACAAAATGTAGAGCCATACATAATCACAGTGCCCCAACACAGTGCTTAAAGAATTAGAGTTTTAAAGAGGGAATCATCATTGATGTTTCTGGATCATTAGTGAGTGTAATGAACAAGGATAAGTCTTTGAGGAAAGAATTTTTAAAAATGCATAGAGTGGACATACCATTGTACACGTTTTAACTTTACTACAGCTTGCTTAAATCTGAAGTAAGCACAAGAAAGGAAGTCCTGTTGTTGGTTGGGTTTTTTTGAGGGTACTATTCTTTTCAACACTTAAATATTCTGGAAATGAATCATACATAACATTTTTAGTAACAGTTACGTATTCAGTAACACTTAAGAGTTACTCGTTACGTCAAGGTGAATAAATGCGCGTGTAACGGGTCATGTTTATTAATGTTGATTTGGGTGATGGTTATCACTGTCCATCTCTGGTGTGTGAAGTCACTCAGCTCCAGCTTTGGGCATCGTAACGACTGTCATTACGTACAGGCGCCTGGAAGTTCTGCTTATAGCTCTCTCCCACTGTACAGCTGAATTAGTTAGGGTTGCTTTTCCACTCAGTTGTGTCACTCTTAAACCAGTGCAGTGCAGTGGAGAATCAAGACCTTTGAAGGACAGTCCGTCAGTTTGCAAGTCACTGACGTGCACTAATGGAAAAATGGGGCCTCAATACATACGATTATTTTGCTAATATGATCAGAGGATTTGCTTCTGCAGTTCAGAGTAGTCCATCAAGTGATGCCCCATCATGTACTCTTAAAATAGTGGCATTCAACTATTAATAGTAAACAGTAGCTTCTAAAAACTAACACACTTTTTTTTTCCCACAATGAATCAACGCTTGAGAGATGCCAGAGGCACAATAAAATTATAATCTGGTGTGTAAAAAAATACAGCTTTCTTGGTTAAGTATTTTAAGTGGTCTCATTATCTCAAGTTTAGGTTTGAATTCTGATATTTTCTACTCACCTAGCTGCCTTTCTCAAATGTCTCCTATTAACATTCGTTTATGTTCCTGCTGGCTTTTGTAGGTGGCCAAGTGAAATAATAGCAGCTTGTTATTTTGATAAACCTGATATTTTCAAGCAATTAGAAATATAACACAGGAAAATGTAAAGAAGAGAAAGGGACAGCCTGTATAGTAGAAACATACGGGTTTTGCAATTACTGACACAAAACACAGACTTCCAAGCTACTCCTAAACGCTCTTACATTCTCTGTATGAGAAAATGTGACATTACATGGTGTTTGAAATAGGACCTTTCCTACATTCATGTACAAAAATATACTTTGTTAAAAGTTAACAAAAATAACTTAAATTTTTGAGAAGCAAGACAAGTCCTTGTTGGGACGGAAACTCCATTTGCTTATGTTTTGCATGAAGTAAGCCTACTAGCCTAAACCGGTGGCTTTCCAACCCTCTTTGGATGTCCATACAACACATGTAAGGCTACTGAAAAGAGGGTTCCCTTCTTAACTACCTTTTGTCCGTGAATCCCTGAAACAGTGGTTGAAAATTACTGGCTTAAAATCTATCCTGATTTTTTTTAAGAGATGGGGTTATAACATCATCTAAAGGCAAATAACAAAGATGAGAGTTTCTGAACATTCTTGCTGCATTGTGACTTCAAGTCATACTCTTAGTTAATTTTAACATTTTGGCTTTATTCTTTATATTAATCTTAAAAAATAAAATGAGGCACTGATACGTTATGGCTTGTTTGTGTCAAAGTACGCTGTGCTGTGGTTTTCAGGGGCTTGACCTAATGAGCCAAGGGAAAGAATTATTTCCTTGACAATGACATGGTTTATCCTCTGCATTTAAGAACTAATATATAAAGGGAAAGATGACTAATTCAGTGGAATAACTTAATTTCAGGGAAGTTGAACGTTGATGATATAAATGCTCCTCTATGCATTTACTATGCAATTTACAACAACTGCTTAACGTTTATCTCTTTAGCCGCACTGAGGTCCATGCCTGTGGTCCTGAATCAGAAAGAACTATCACTTAAATCAGTGGGAGTTGTATCTGAATGCAGATTTTGATGTTAAAAATATTCTAAAGATTTCTTTTAAACCTGAAATAATAATAAAAAATAAATCTTCAAACAAAAAGAGAAGCTTAAGTGGTTCTCTTGAGACTTTCATAAAGATGTAGTCTTTGGATAAAAACCCAATATACCAAATTTAAATGTAAAACGCTTCCCCTGCTCCCCTTTCTATAGACTCCTGAAAGAATGATTTTTCTAACAGTATGTTTTAATGACCAACTACTACTTTGAATGCAATATTAAAATAAATAAGATAGCGTAGTACAGAGAAACATGCCTCCAAGTCATATACCCACTGTGCAACGAAACCGTTCCTCTGAAGGTGAGGCAAGACCGCTAAAAGTAAGAAGTTATTTTATAGACAGTTTAGGTTTTGATGCTTTTCCAGGCGTTCCTTTACTAGTTTCTCTAAGGAAAAGAGATGCTCATCTGCATCTTCCGGTACGAGATTTCTGATAGAATTAGCAAGTTCAAACAGGTATTCCGTGTTCCTTCCGCTAGGACCAACGGCATTAAAAATCTGTTCAGCGATTTCTTCTAGAGGTGCCGGCCCAAGGTAGTTAGGGTTGTCACAAGTTCCAATGTACAACAGCACATCAAACGGTTTTACGGACGAGTCTTTTGGATAGAAGATGACAGTTGTGGTCCTGTAGCCTCCTTTCTCTCTGAAGTCCAGGTATGCCTTTACTTCACATTCTTGTCCAGCCGGCAATCTGTAAGCAACACCCCATACACACCCCTGTGGAAGGACATAAGAAAAGAAAATCCAAGCAGCACTCATAAAGATACTCACAAATTAATGTATTTCCATTGCATTTAGGCAAAACTCTCTTAAAAATGTCTTCAATTTTCAATCTGTTTATAGCTATTTCTCACACTGTTTGTAGAAGGAGTCCCAAATTAAAAGGGTTGTTTTCTTTAGGAAATCTTCAGTCAAAACGGTAATTATGCAGATTGATCATCCACTTTCTTGCTAATGCTGAGGCCTTTCTTGCAAAACAATTTCTTGTTGCAGTTAAGTTTGAAGTAGTAAATAGCCTTGGCATGGGCGACTACTACGGCGCTGGCAAAAAGGATACAAAGTATCTTCCCGACCTCGTAAAATTTGTGTCTGAAAATTAAAATTTTAAATGGTGCCAAATTCAAAGTAATTTTGATCTGGTCCTTTTTCTGTTTAGTTGTAGTCACATTTCTAAGGACCTGGGTGTCACATCTGTTACGTGTACTTGGAGGGATGAGTGGGGTAACGTTACTGCACTGAAACTGAATCGGAGAAGAAAAAGCTGAGAGAGGAGCCTTCATTTTGCATAAATAAACGTGGCGTATCTAGCACCTCAGCAAACAGTTAGGATAATTTTCATTACTGTCTTTGAGAACCTGAATATTTCTTCATCCTCTTCACAGATAACATCTGGAAAAGTATTTAACTGTGGTGTGAATTAGTTATACTCCCTTACCAAGGTTTATATAAACAAATCGGTGAGATCTGTGTTGGGGTTGATTTGCATAGGTTTTTGTTTTGAAGTAGCACAGAAAAATGATAATGATCAGTTATCCGCTAAGGGCTACATATTGTTTCTTATGAGTGCAGTTTTAAAACAAATGGTAGTCTGTTGTGTCTGCTGGCAACATCAAATGCCGATTCTTCCTGCAGCTAAGTAGGTATACATATCGGTGCTACAAAGCAGTGACAAAGCAATCAACGTTGTGGGTTTTTCCCCCTAAAACTGGATCTTAGTATTCAGTCATGATCTCAGATGATGGTGGAGTGGTGGGGTTAATTCATGAGCATTGAATTTTGCAGTCAGACTACGCGCTGGTCAAAGGCATTTTATTAAAAAAATCAGGAGTCATTTTCTATTGCATCCTTTGTAGATGGTTACAGCATTTGATGTGCTGTGGCCAGGAACAGCACTAACGAGTACAGAAATGGGTTCCTTGCTTTCCCCCAGCCATCTGGGATGCAGGTTCACTCCAGTCTGCAGGAAACGTGTCAGTTTTAAAAAACAGCCTCTTCTCTGCCTGTTACTCTCTTGGCTTAAATCTGCCACTCAGACCTACTTTGGTGTTGATAGGAAAATATATATGGGTGTGGCAGAGATAGGGATTTAAAGCAGACACTTTAAGTGTTACCACTACTTAATTCATTTAGTTTTCAGTGTAGAGGTTTCCTATTTCAGATGATGGAAAATTATAATTCAGAAATCAGACAAGGACCATGATGTTCTGTGGTTTCCTCTTAACTGGCAAAGAAATTCAGACGGAGCAAGTTAAAATAACTCTCTGAACTAGATGTTTCCAAGCTGCGCTACGCATATCGCTGGTGAAAAAGGACGTGCGGGCTAGCACAGAGCCGAGAGCTGGCATTGCCAGCAAAAGCACTGCTGCTGTTGTCACCACTGTATTTGGTGTCTGCGTGCAGGGGAATAATTGCTGTAGTCTGCTAAGATATCTTCAAAATAAGATTACCTTTTTAAAGGGCAGAATGAGTAACTGAAGCTAAAGCAAATGACTTGTCATACCATTTGATGTTTATGTGTAAACTGTGATTATCTGGCCACACCAAATTCTGGAGAAAAGGGAAAACAACCCAACCAAACAAAACTGGTTTGCTAAGGGGAAAAAAGTTTCTATGGTAATGAATAAGTTTGCTTAACAAGACAAACTGAGTGACAACAAACATAAGCATTCTTTGTCTCTATAGGCATCTGTGTAACATAATGTTACCCAGCAGTACAGTAATGTGAAAAAAAACCCCGTACTAGAAAGGTACAGAAAATCACAGTGAGAGACAGTGCATTGCATTTTGCTGGTTTTGCTAACTTCAAAAAACAGTGTAAGTTTTTGATTACTGCTAAACTTACCTCTCTCTGGCTGCTATTTCAGGGAAATAGATCGGCAAGACAGCAATATCATAACTGTATAGATAAGCAACTGTAAATAAAAACTCACTACTACCAAAATGCCCATCCTCCGCGTCTTACGGCCTTGTGTCGTGCGGCTTTGCTCTCCCTCTGCTTCCATGCCATCCTTTCTTCCCTCCCGCCCCTCCGGAGGCACTACTGCCTGCAGGGATTCCCTCTCCTGGAGGGTGTGAAGCTGGACGGACACCGCAGCCATTCCCAGCAAGGTGCCAGAACAGAGCGCGCTGCTGGGTGTGGGGGGCCCGGGGGATCAGCAGGGAGCGGGAAGCGATCGCATCCAAGGTGTATCCCGCAATAGCCGCCCCGGGCTTTCCCCAGCCTGGCTCAGTGCTTTTGTCCTAGCTGGTGAGCAGTCCAACCGAGAGCGCTCTAGTGGGCAAGATCCCTAGAAAAAATTGTGGGTAGCTCTAAGATAGCTTCTTTACTATCAAAACGAATTAGAAATGGGTAAAATGTAAGTCTAAGTACTTCTATAAGCAGAAAAAGTCTTGATTTTCCTGCAGCTTACGTGACTGTAAGCCTAGGCCTTGTTTCATCTCCCTCCCTCCCCAGCCCAGGCACTCCCCTTGCAAACGCTTCCACTGCACTGAGACTTAGGGAAAAGGTCAGAAGATAAGTGAGAATGGTAGACTCGGGCCCATGACTGTTTTCTCTAAACAGGAGCTAATTTCACAATATTACATAGAAACCAAAAGCACGGTTGTGGCATTTTATTCCTTAAGCATTTTATCTGTGTAGCAAAAAATAAAGCAAGGGTATCTCCCTTTCTATCACTGCAATGTAATCTTGATTTGTTTCAGTTTTTATTTTGGGAGGGCAAGATTGCAGTTCTGACACGATGTCTGGGGTCTACACTACACATGTGCTGAAAGTAAAATTCTGCATCTTATAACTGGATAGGTGAAGTGACTATTCCAGAAAAATACTTTAAAATATATCTTCGGCAATAACAGACCCAAACTACTTCCAGTATCTTAGTTTAGATTGATCGGTTTATTTGAAACAATCAAGAGTCATTGGTGTAACTCCAGGAAATTTTGAGAGACCTTTTCATTGCACTAAAGATAACTTAATTTGCTTGAAGAGAAGCAAAAATTATGAATAGAGACTTACTACACAGGCTGGGAATGCAACAGGACATTCTGCACACTACAGAGACAGAACAGGAGTACTATACCTCAGGATCTTCAACCAGAGTCACAACTCTTCCAGGCTAAAATTTAAAAAAAAGAAAAAAAGAAATCACGGTTCAGTTAGAGGCTTTTACCATAAATCATGAGCAAACCCAGAGCAAAACAAGAAAGAAAAAAACAAAAACAATGCAAAGTAATTAAAGGGTCAGAGAACTAATCCAGGACAGCCTCAATAAAGTCTATTTCTTTGAGATCCAGTATAAATATTTTCCGAGAATAGCTTTCGATCTGTATTAGGTAAACTGTGATAAACAAAAGGTTAAATTCTGAGTGGAAAGTGCTTGCAACATCGAAGTTAAATTAAGGGCAGTCATAAACAGGAAGGTTTTGAATGTCCTTGCTTTCTCTGTGTTGTCCAGACTGAATTCTATTCCTGTTTAAAATGGTGACAGTAATTCATTAATGTAAAACTATCCTTGAGGAGTGCACCTTCCTCGGTCATGTTGTTTCTCCACAAGCACTATGCAATTTTTTTAATCTCCGGAGTGACAATGAGGTGAACCTTCTCACTTGTATTCAAAAAGCTTATACGCAGGCATGGAAAATAACGCAATGCAGAAATCTAGTTTGCGTAGAACTAAGCAAGATATTACCACTTCTGGCTTGGTTTGCACTAACTGGATTTTAGCAAATGTTAATTACACACGATCACACGTGGCAACTCCTAGGTTTAGAAGCTCCTAGCTAATTAGATGTTTTTGAAAACACAGAGCAAAGAAATCTGCTAGTAGTTTTTAGTGAGTACTGTGTTAGCACCATGTTATTCAAAGTTGAAAAAAGAAGTTTATTGTGCAAAAGATGTTTTTCCCCTTCTTTTCCCCCTCCCAGCTCACTCTCCCTTACTGGGCAGATGGAGGATACCTCGGTAATGGCTTATTTTTCCAGTGAGTTACTTCTTGCAGGAAGAGTACGAAGCCAGTTTGTAAATACTGAAAAGAAAATTGTTGAAATTTGTTGTATAACCTGGAGAATAAAATTTTAAACCATAAAACCCTATGGACATCTGTAGTTTAAAATCGCTAATTTTGGCATCAAATTGGTGTACAGGTGTGTCTGATTAGAGGTAAGGGAAAGCAGAGGTACTAGCATTCGTTCAATTTTAGTGTAGGATAGGAATTAATTCTCGTAGGAGTTACAAAGATAATCTGAACTTGACGTACTTGGATGCATGCCTTTCGTTTAGTCTTAGCTAACTTTCGGTCTTGGGCTACTACATTTCAGTCCTTTTATGACTCGTCACTAATGGTTCCACTGACATGTCCGTGCTTTTCTGTTCGGTAAGCCTGTACTTGTTTGTGTCTCTCACACAGTAACGCTGCAGGGTTTTCTCCTGCACCCAGTCATTGGCAAGCCACACGTTCTTTTGGTAACAAGCCACATGTGAAATCTAGTTTTTGCAGAGCGCTTTCTAGATACCATCAACTGTAGATACTATTTATTCAGTGTCAGATCTTTTATAACCTTAAAGGCTGTTTATTTATAAGCTCCGAGGTGTGCGTTTTTTCATTTTTATGCCCGTTCTTTCCCAGCATCAGCCATCTATTCCTGATCTGATTGATAAAATAAGGCAACAAAACTAAATGAATACTAAATGATTGCTATTTGAGTACTTTGAGGACACAGGTCTGTACCCATGATTAATCAAGATAACTTAGGTGTTCCTTTTGCGAAGTTTTTTCCACAACCATTAATACTTCCCTGACTTGGGTACTCAATACTGGTCACTAAGATTTTGTAAATTACGGACTGAAGACACATTCTGTGGTGGGAAAAAACTTTATTACCAGGAATGGCTGTATCTGAAGCCTAAATACTGAATGAAAGTGAAGTTCTGAAGAGTACTTAATCTTCAGGTTGGTTGTGTGATGAAAGAACGATCTGTTTGACTAGGGAAGGACAGGATATTTAGTGTATTGGTTTGCAGAGTCCTTGTCTTCCATGGAACTACCGAAACCAAACACCATTAAGAAACCATGGGTATTACCTCTGCTAGCTAAGTGAAGAAAATAACACACCTATAAATGACCGGCTGTATAATAGAAACCAAACCCATTTTTCTCCTGCCCAAGTACTGGCAAGGGCAAACCTGAATGATCTCCTAAATCGGATGTCTTTGAGGGGATTTGTGTCAGTTCTGCGCAGCCTACTGCCAGGAAGGCTGCCAAAGGCAACCCTGCATGGGGTCACGCCGGAGCAGCAGCGTGGCCTGTGGCCACGCGGGAGTTTTCCAAGGCATCTGTAGTGCGAAGGGCCATCGCCCCTCTGAATCAGAAGGGAAGCCATTGCGGAAAATTAAATACACGTTGTTTCAGCTCGTAGCATCATACTTCGCTTCAAGGCCTCAGCTGTGCTGTACATGAGAGCTCCCAAACATGCTCCTGTCTTAGAGCGCATGTGACGGGAGATTCTTCTAGGTTTTACCGTTCCAGGTTCAGTAAAAAAGGGAAGATAGCATTAGTGTGGTGCAGAGTCTGCGCTAGAGGCTATGGCGTTCTCCTGGCGTGGGGACTTTGTCTACCTGCGTGGAGATAAAGCTCCTCGGGACAGTCTGAGGACTAGCTGATGTGTGCTATGAAATAGCGGGGTAAACTGAAATAAGAGCTTCCGCTGTTAGGATTGTTTTCAGTGGTACCATAAACTGCTCAGCTACTAAAATTACTAAATATTTACCAATAGAGGAATCGATTAATTTTTGCATCTGGATATGAAAGTAAGATGGAATAAAAGGAAATATGACCTTAGAAATAATTTTAGCTTGATTGCTCTTAATTTTTTTTCAGAAAGGGAGGCGTAAGTTTGCTAGTAAGTAGGAATGTAATAATTTAAAATGGCTTTCCTTAAAAGCACAAGTTTATTTAAACAAAGCATAGCCTTTTCTGCTTCCTTTTCCTGCGGCTCACGATGGCATAACAGGAGCCTATCTATCCATCCTCTTCCCTATAGCTCCCTCGCCGGCAGCCATCCGACGGGGAAAAACTGCCACAGTAAATCAGGGAACCGCAGATGTGGGAAGGCACCTCTGGAGATCCTCTAGTCCGACCTCCTTTTTTTCCCCATTTCACCTTTAACAAACTAAAAGTCCTTCATTATCTTAAAATGATTTAACCTTAAGTTGACCCAGTAATTCTATGCATGCAGAAACTCAAGAGCTTTCTGTTTGGACACTGTTTGGACAGTGGCAGCGGACAGCTGGAGCTAGATTAATCATGTCATCAAGTTTCCCCGGATTTTTTTTCTAAGCACATTGGAGGGCTAGGAACAAAGACAGTCTCTGGCAGAGCCAGAGCAGAGATTCCCCAAACGTCAGGCCCGTCGGTGTGCCGTGCGGTCAGGCGAGTGCCAGCGCCAGATCAAGGAGCACGGCTAAAGCAAGCAGTCTGAAGCTGGGAGGGAGGAGGACTGTAAGGAGAAGCAGCAGCCAAACTTCACTGTTTTGGCAGCAGCAAGCGATTAGTTCGGTTCCAACCATGTTGTGATAATAATGGCTTCAACCCTCGAATGCATTTACGCTTCCGTGCAAAACCAACCCCCCAGACTTTAATGTTTGAGGTGGTTTATGTGAATCATGCAGGTTTGCATTTCTGATGCTGGTTGTTTTTTTTTTTTTCTTTTTTTAAGCCTGCACTCAGAAATTTGAATACACCATTTATGAAAACATTTTTGTTACTTATTCAGGTCTTTCTAAGCCAGTAGCACTTTTTTCAGGGAACATTGTTATTGCCTGGTAAAATTCAAGCTGCTTTAATTTACTATTCGGAATAATCCTCTGAAAATCTTATTTTGAAGTACAGCTAATGTGTAAGTATTTTTCAAGAAATGGTTATTCCTGTTTTTGCATTCTTAATCCATTCTAACAAAACTTTTTCCAATTTCACATCCTGTAAACTATAAAATACGGCCCCATGATTAAGCAGCACTTTATAACTAGTTAACTGTCTTATTACAGTACGAGTTGAGCAGTTCAAAGTACAATTACAAGGTCAACTGAGTTTCGTACTAAAAGCTTGCGGCCATTGTACGTAAAAGTGCTCTGTATGTTTTTGTTGTGCTGACCATGGAATGTTGGAGCAACTAGTGTTTTCAGGAAGTTTTTTTTAACTTGTTGGCTACTGGTTTATTGCTGTTCCTTAAAATGTGTTAGTACTGAAGGCCCAGTTGCACTTGTAGCTCACCCACAAGAGATGAAATTCATCTCTGACGTCAAGGACTGTAAAGATTTTATAGCAGAGAGCTTTGGCATGGTGAAATGGGAGGTCCCAGCTGTGTGTTTTCTCAGTGTACGCTGAGGGAGCCTTTTTGCCTTGCAAGTAGGAGTAACAACTCATAGACTGCAGGAATACAAAAAGGCATTAACTTGTGGATGCTGAGAAAAAGTGTATTTTGTTAATGCTAAGTGGTTTATATAAGCCACAAAATGCATTAACCAGTTTACATAAATAATCACCTGTGCCCTCAATCTGTCCAAACAAGCATCTAAATAGAAACAGAACAAAGCATGGGCTTGGGGGGGGGGGGGTTGTGTGGGTGTTGTTTTAAGGCTCTGTATGCCTGCAGGTGATGGTTCTGGGTGTGACCTTGGCAGAAATACAAACGTCTAAGCTTCTTGAAACCAAGTATATGCTGGTGGGTAGTAACCTGGCGTGGCCATTTTGCAAGATTTTCAGTATCTGCACAAAAACAGTCACTCTGAGCATTCCCCTGAATTTCAGCTAGCCCGGCAATGAGGTCACCAAGGATACTTGCAAAAAGGAAGAAAAACTGGCTGGTGTGGGTTTTATTCCTTTCTGCAGCCCCAAGAGTTAGACTCTCTATTGACTGATTAGGTTTTTTAAATGGGTTTTTTTTTTTTGAAGCCTGGTTTCCTAAGTAGGGGAGGCTGATGGGATCACACTCTTTTATGCCCCAGCCTAACAACCTTTGCACGTGCTTTTCAATTCATCCAAATTCAAGAGAAGAACAGAAACTTCCCAATGCTCATACAAACATCATCTTTGAAAAGGAATGACCGGTAGACGAGAAATTAGCCTTCCCACCGAGAAAGCGAACGATAGCTGTCCAGTCAGCAGACCTGAGCCAGCCGCAGGGCACGCTGCGTCTCTCCAGCCAGGTGAGGCGGCGGGTTTGGAGACAGAATTGTGCATATGACAGCATGTAAGCCGGCTGACGCAGCGAGGCTTTCGACTCGATCTTAAAAGCAAGGCGGCAAAGCGTTTGGGGCTGGAGTTCAGAACCAGGACAGCTGCATTTGCACAGCACTGCTCCAACCTGAAAAACATGCCTGCCGAGCCCAAGCCTGCTTGCACATAATTTGCTTCTTTACAGTAAATATGTTTGGGGTTTTTTTACATACTAGATGTCCAACGTGTGCTAATACCTGAAGCATGGTGATTTGCTTTGCAAAAAACTAAATGCAAGGGCAGGCTTGTATTATCTTTAAGTACTCTGCAAGTTATTTTATGGCGTTTGAGGTTCTAACTAGTGCTATTTAGAACTAGATGAAAATTTCTTCCGTGCTACACGTAGTGTGCTGTGGTTTATTTTTAAAAAGAATCCTTATGCCTTTTCTGGAGGAGTTCTTTTAAAGCCGTACTGCAGTTTTAAGAGTGGAGTTAGCAGGGTGCAGGTTAGATGACTGCTTTAGGAAACAGGAAAACATATTTTCACGATACAAAATCAGCATTCAAAGAGAGCTGTATCCAAGTATCAGTTTCTGTACATTTATGATCCGTTTGCATTTCTCATGGCTAAATTGTGAGCAGCATCTGCAGGCGTAAAGAACAGTCACATCAAAGTCATTCACCTAACGCGCTGGGTGCTTCTCTAACCTGTTGTTTCTTTAACATTTGTTGAGCTATTTAGAATTATCTAAGGGTGATGGCTCTTCTGTGGAGAGGGTGGTACGGGCTTTCAAAGCAGAGCAAGCCTCTGTTATTCTCGCTCCTGTGGCTTAAAAATAGAATCACAGAAGCGTTTAGGTTGGAAAAATACATATGTTAGCATGAAATTGCACATGCTCCCTTCTGGAATTTTAGTTTCTTTTACTTGGTGGCTTCCCCCTGCCCTTTTCCAAACAGTAAATATTTCCTCCTCTGTGAGTTTTCATTCAAAAGTCAAAAAAGCTGAAAAATGGTGAGGCAGTTACTCAGATCACCACTTCTGGCCTTTACTTATTAACCAGACTTTCTCTTCAAAGCCTGATTATCCACACAGAGGTATTTTCCCTTATTTAGATGAATGTCTATAGGAACTGAATCAGTTCTTTTTTGAGGTACCAAAATGGAGAGATGGTTATGTTACCATTCTTCTCCTCTTTGAAGTTCATTATGTTGGCTGGTTGGGTTTTGTTGGTTGGTTTTTTGTTTTTTTTTTTTTAAGTGATAGTACAGAACGAAATGAATCCTCGCGCTGTCGGAAATACTTCTCGCCACAATGAAATAAATTAGAAGTCAAAGTGGAAACACAGCCTCAGTACTTTGCGAGAGAGGACTGGAATAACTGGCATCAGCAAGCAGCGGGTGCTGTTAAGGCTTATTGAAGTTAAGTTGAAAAAAGAAAGGGCACTTGCAAGGGCTCAGGGGCTCCGGAGCTCTGGGGTACCCGGCTCAGGGGCTCCAGGGCTCTGGGGTACCCGGCTCAGGGGTTCTGGGGGGCTCCGGCTCAGGGGCTCCAGGGTATCCAGCTGATGGTCTCTGGAGGGGCCCAGCTCAGGGCTACCTGTCTGAGGGCCGCTGGGGCTCTAGGGTACCCGGCTCAGGGGCTCTGGAGGAGCCCGGCTCAGGGCCTTCGGGGGACCCGGCTCAGGGGCTCAGGGGTACCTGGCTGAGGACCACTGGGGCTCCGGGGGGGCCCAGCTCAGGGGTACCTGGCTCAGGGGTACCCGGCTGAGGACCACTGGGGCTCTGGGGGAGCCCGGCTCAGGGGCTCCAGGGTACCCGGCTCAG